AAGGTTTCTCTCTAAACTGGGTAACAGGACCGCTCCGTGTTACAATATTGGGGGTGTGGAAAACGTTTTAACTCTAGCTGTTGCACTAACCAGATGACCCAGACAGTGATGTTGATATTTTCAAAGAATGACATTGTCCTTTGCTTTTTATCGCAGACATATGGCCTCTTTTCTGTACAAACATACAAATGATAAGAAACTAGCTTTTATTTGTGTATTATTTCCCCCTTCCGAAGTATATAAATGTATAAAGTATAATTATTATTGTGCAAACCTACATCCAACAAGCTTTGCTTTTAAGTAGGTTCGTTTTTTTCATTTTCTGTAACCAAATCATTTTGCATTACAATGAACAATGACGGTGAAAAGAAATGAAAAATATATTCGCTCTGTATAGAGCTACTACTACTACTACTACTACTACTACTTTATACTTTACTCTGATTCAGACTTCAACTAACAATGCAGCAAATTCACAATATGCACGCCAGTTGTGAAGGCCAAAGGAAAAACTTCAGACATGAGCTTTTGAACGTGGCATGTGCTTTAGTAAGAAGAAATGTGTTTGATATAAGCAGAACAAAATACGTATTTTCTAGGCATATATAATTTTAGAATACTATTTGTATGAACTGCATGACTTCAAAGCGAAATATCGAGGTATTTGTTTTACAACACTTCTTCCTCGCAGTCAAAATTATATTAAAAAATTTGAAAAATATGAGAAGCTGACAATGCATAAAATATTCGTAGACTTTAAATCATTTTTAAAGAAGATAATATTATTTATAACCTTGTCTTGAATATCCTATATGTCCCTAGTATGAAATATTTGACTACTACTTGGGGCGATGTATAATCTATTTACTTATTTCTAAACCTGAGAATAGGTGATTTTTTTTTATCACACAATAGCAATATTAAGGTTTTGAAATATAAATACACATTATATTGTTTAGAGTTTAATAGGGTATTTTGTGCTTGTAAATCTGTTCGTAAACTATGATTAAATGCTAGAATACAAGTACCATGGTAGCCTCAAAAGAATAAATAAATCGTTTATTTAAAAGAAAAATAGGCCTATACCCATCCATGTATATTAGGACAACCTCCTTTGAAGTGACATTGCACCGGACTCGACTAGCTCATGTGCCTTTTTATCAATATTTTATTTTTTAAATGTAGCAAAAGAAATAGAAATACAACTGTTTCAAATTTTGAAGAAGAAAATGTGATCAATTTTCCCTTTACAAATCCATGCCTTGAAAGGGTTATACAATAACTCATCTCTCCATCCGATCATATTAAAAATCAAGATACCATTGTCATTCAAGTACAATGTCAATCCCATTGAGCATTTATCGTCAACCATCCACGTGTCTATGGCATGCACAACACCATCCACACGACCCCATATGCAGAAATAAAGACAGAATAAATAATTTATGTTAGATTTCCTGCTCCGCAATTAGACTATTAGGGCAGTATCCAAAATAATTTGAAGGTGTTATGACTACAAATAGAGGAACAGAGTATATATCTTAAAGTAGAAAACATATTTCCCGGAGCAGAAAAATTAGATGTCGACGTAATTTAACCATTTTTGTTAACGTGTTTTTTCTTCATTTCATAAAGAAAGCAAAAAAACAAAATAATTAAACATTTTGAATTCTATGTTCAATACACGTTTATAACAATCATTTTACTTGAAACTGTTCAATATTTAAATCTTGGATCATATCAGGCGCATTTCTACATACAATGAAATTACTGAAAATTTCAATTTTATACCAATTTCCCATCAAGATTGCGAGGACAATGTACTTCAATTAGAACCTACAACTATAAAATGTTATAAAAAGAAAAGAAGAAAAAGAAACGAAGCCCAATATTAGTTCGAAGACATAAGGAAAGAAAGGAGGGGGAAATTTCGAGACGAGAAGACAATATAACCTCTCCCTCACCTTCCAATAAATCAGAGGTTTCTAAATTTGCGATTTTATTTTCCGGGTAATATTAGCGCCCCTCCCCCAAAAATATCAATGTCACACTACAGCACTGGTAATAGATATACATGTATATATAGAAACAAGTGTCCGGAGAAACCATGGCTATAGATTAGTCCTCGACGCAGACACTCTACATGCCACGCAGCTGGTGGTAATATGTGTGCATGTAACTCGCATGATCATGAAAGTTCACATCGCATGAAGAAAGCGCATTCTAGAAACTCTGAAAGAATCCATTGTGGGGGAGTCAAGTGTCCTTGGGAACTTGTCCCGTACGGAATTTGAAAGTCGCGTTCACTTCCTCTCCCTCCTGACTAGAATAATGTATTACGCTGACAACATTCTAGAGGCCACGGGAATAGTAGGCATAATCGTATGTTACATTACTGAGAGATATAGTGTTACTAGAGGTGTTTCAGCATTTTTAAGTGCAATAGAGAAGGATGGGTTCTTGCAAAGGTAGAACAAAATGTGTGAGCTTTCACATTGTTTTTGTCTTTTTTACATCAGTTGGGAAAAAGATCAGAAAATATGTCCCCTGATAAAGATGGCTCTTCAAATGCCCCCATATTTGAAATACGACGAGAAATGGCCGAAAAGTTTAAAACATACTTTCATGCCATGTGTATATGTATTTCCGTATACCAATTTCCAAGGGTAGTGCATGTATGTTTTTTAAACAAGATCTTGTTAATTTCTTTTTAATTATGATAATTCTAAAACCTCACCGAAAACACCTTAATTAACCATGCCCAATTGCTTCTAGATATTTTCTTTCACGATCTATTTATATAACCAGTACTCAGATTCCCCGTGCTATACCCAATATCATGGGTTGACAGCAGTCTAAGGGCTTAGTAAATAGGTTGTGATGTTACTGAAAAGGTGAATTAGTAGAAGTATAGTAGTAGTAATAGTAGTAGTATAGGATTTAGGCCATCGTTTATACACTTTGCTGGGAATCCAATGCACTAGACTATAAACATATACCATGGTAAGAGTTTATAATAACATAGAACTTTTCTTTCTGAAATAGAGTATCAGTATTTAGGATGTCACGTTAACGTGCTTACTGAGAACGAGAAGTAGTCTGAAATGTTTTCTCAACCCTTCAATGCACCAGGTAATGGGCTGATAACATTTCGTCTTTAGGATGTCAAGTTTCTACCATGAGAGGTGTAGTAGTAGAAGAAGCAGTAGTATAAGTAGTAGTAGTAGTAGTAGTATAAGTAGTAGTAGGAGTAGCAGTAGTAGAACAGTACTACTACTACTACTACTAGTAGTAGTAGTAGTAGTAGTAGTAGTAGTAGTAGTAGTAGTAGGTGATTAGGTGTTTGATCGCTTGGCTGTAGATTCTCTCTAAATTAAATTCAATAGCTTATTCACAAAACATGATTGTTTGCATCTCATTCTTTCATTAAAACTTTCAATTTTGATCAAAGGTCCAGCTTTTAAACAATTTACTTAAATCCTGCACAACGTTGTAACTGTACATATGACCCCAGCTTTCTGCTTGAAGGTTAAACTATACCGAAGCATGGGTTACGATAATCTTCTAAACTAGTTCTTTAATGGTCAAGCACGAACATCTTTGTCGCTTTTGGGTCTTGTAAACCTCAATCCGGTCATGTTTAAAATTCATGCATTTAGAAACGTCTTGGACATTAGTATGAACATGGTGAAGCGTACCGACAGCATGAAGACTTCAAACAATTCTCAGGAAAAAAGCTATTCCTCAACATAGTGTATGATATAGAAAAAACAAAACACATGGGTAATCAGAATAAGGCTACAAGACAAGATATAGCAATTGCTACTGATTGCGAAGAGCACAAGTAATGATCAGAGCTGTCATGTTTGCAGAAATTGGAAAGACTTATAAGTATATATGACCACTTTCGGAAATGGTAGCCCAGTTGCACCTGTGATTTAAAGGTTAGGCAATCGGAAACGTGACTTGAGAGAAATTTTAAAAGGCTGTCGAAAATTGCCGGTTTGGGACCAGAACAAAATGGAATCAATGGTACTTGGGAGAAAGGCTATGTCTCCAAAAGTGGCCATTCCTCGGTTCCTTTTACGGCTCTGGCTACATTTCAAGAACTTGATCTGGACAACCCTTCTCGATGGCGCCAAAGGGCTGGAACAGAATGAAATTCGAGCACCACAAGTCTGTGTGTAACATAAGCAGCTCCATGAGGGACAGGGGAAGGGGTAGGGGTAAGGGGAAGGGACGAAGGGTCGTACTGTGAACTAGAAAAAGTAAAATGCATTCAGATGGCGTGGTATAGTAAATTTAAGAAGAGCTTTGCGATAGCATGAGCTTCATGTACATCTGCATCTTGATGGAATTAACCAGTTGCCTCTCGAGTCCAATGATGTTTGCGTGCAGCATCACTTGAAATGGAGGTATGAGAAGCCCTGGGGTGTTGCACGTTCTCATATTTTACAGCGTAGATGCTCTAACGAAAATATATTGAAACGTAAATTGTCCAAGATGAAGCAGTCGTCATCCTTGACAATATACCATTATAAAATAAATGTTTTGATAAATAATTGCAGATGGAATAAATATCTGCCCCAATCGATGACATCGGACATACGACACTATCAACAAAGATAACGCATGTTAAGTACATGACGAGTCTTCGTCATTTCATTGTCCAAAAACAAAACTCTATTAAGTACTAAAAGGAAATTACATGGATCCAGCGTGTCGCTCGTTTTCAAAATCAAACAAAATTGTTTCAATATGAAAAATAAGTACATATCAGTATTTCAAGAAATACCCATTACATAAACCATAATTGTATTTTTTGTAATGAACGAGGCGTACATGTTTCATAATGAGACACATAATCTAGATGAAGAAGTGTAAGGACTGTGATCAATATAATTGTTGGGATGGATGATTGAAATAATGTGATGATCCTACATGAACGGTGATGGGTTGTGATAATTCCGATCATGATTATCATGTCATCATGGTCTTACCTTTGCGTGAATCGCCCGCCACATCCCGAGTTGCGGGGCACGGTTGGCTCTTTGTTGTTGAAAAGCCATGATGACAGGTGACTAAGAAACAAGGAATGAACGAAATTACAAGCTCCAATGTCAAACCTTCCCACAAATCGCTGCACTTATTAGCCAAGATATATCACGACTCTCGCCTCGATACTTTGATATATTTCAAATTAATCCTTCAGGTGTTCGCACGAAAAGAAGAAGAAGAATTCCGTGCAAAATGACGAAACACCGCTCGAGACGGAAGAAAAGTGAGGACAAAATATGTTGAGAGATAATGAATATCAGCTGTGACCGATTCGAGGAAAGTTAAATGATTTGGATCTACACTGGTACCCGTCCCCGCCTTGCCCCACACCAGTTACACATTTCATAAGAGGTGTTAATGACACCCCTTCCATTATCAAGTACACGTCTTTATTACCTATACGAGATGATAAGCTTGCACCGGGGGTAAGGGTGTCTGATATTGTCTTAATGAAATCAACATGTTGATGGTGTGAAATTTTAGTCGTAGGCGAGAGTCCAACAAGAATTTCCGAGGGTTGATTACGTGTAGATCGTGGTGTATGCATCATAGTACAATGAGTCATTAAGCAATGGTGAAGTCGATCAACCATTCTAAATGGTTTAGGAAAACAACGTTTCCTGGTTGAAATGTGGATTAAACTCGAGGTTTGCAATAAAAAAAAGTGTAAAACAAATGTACAAAAAAGTAGGCCTAATAGGTGATTTTTGTTTGTTGTATAAAACCTTATGTACATGTGTCTAATTTGGTGATAGTCGTTCCTCTTATCACATACCGTAGTGTCTGTCTAACCTACACATAATTCGCAATAAACCTCATTAACTGACATAGCCCCAACCCACTCCCCCCCCCCTCACCGCTGTTCCCACTCTTTGATACCGAAGACTGTATTATAAATTATCTAAATGATTTGTGGTTTTAAAAAAAGATAAAGTTATCAGGAATGCTCATGCCTCCCCAAAATCTTCCCTACTCTAAATTAGTTGAAATATCAGATTGTTACATGCTTGAAATGACAAACTGATAATAATGGAAAAATACCCTTTTTTATATTCTAATTTCCTTCACGAGCATTCAAGCTAGCCAATGTTTACTTCTTCCCAAGTAAGGATTTGCATTTATGATCATTCTTGTCTGAATAAAAATAAACAGTTTGTGAGTTGTTAATATGGTTTATAGTGACAGTAAATGTGATAAAATTACCTAGATGCGTTCTCCGGCTTCCAAAATAATAATAATAATAATAATAATAATTATCCTTGCTTATATAGCGCCTAACACTTACTTTATAATTGGCAATATATTTTACAATACCTACTCTATAATAATTTAAGAAATGTTATTACGTTTGCAATTCATCATGTTTATATAGCCAGGACAATTGGCAGATAGTGTGTCAGACAATAATTGTTATTCAACAAAAATAGTGCGGCTCTCACTTGATATTAAGAAATTATATTTTCAAAAATTACAAGGTTGTTTAGCTTTTAAGCTTTTTTTTACAGCTTTAATGTACCCGAATATAGGATTTAACCTAAAATGGAAGTTTGTGCAAATATTCTAGATCGGTCATGACTTTGGTAATATCAGGCGCACTTCATTGTAATTAATTTGAATATTAGTTACACTCGAGTTACTTTTACAGGTGTAAAACTTGAAGCAAATCTTGAGCTCACGTATGGGAATCGTATTTTGAGAGAAAATTAGTATGATTTATTCTGGATTTTTTATCACGCAGTAGATTGGTTGTTTGAACCAGTGCAATACAAAAAACATACTGCGCATCATCTTCGATTAAAACCACAACTCCCATTTGCACACAGTGACCTGTGTTTAATAAACATATGGTATCAGTTCTACCTACCCGGATTTCCTTATCTTTCTATGCTCATTATAGTCAGGAGGCTTAGTGAAATTATCGTTACTTGCCGGATAAAAGCACCATTTTTGGTACAAGGCTCCCGTAGGACCTACTAAACGATATGAGGCTAGGAGCCCCCGGCAAAAATTTCAATTTAAGTGTGTGGAGGCGGGGGCGTCTTTTGGAGCCCCCAAATAATTTTATAACATTGATTTGCTGTTGTACAAATACCGTTTTTGGTACAGGGCTTCCTTAGGACCTACTGAACGATATTAGGGTAGAAGCCCCCGACAAAAATATCATATAAGGGCGTGGGGCGGGGGCGTAGCCTCGTAGCCCCCAAATAATTTAGAAGGTAATATAACATTTATATGTTGTTGTACAAATGCCATTTTTGGTAAAGGGCTTCCTTAGGACCTACTGAACGATGTTAGGGTCGGAGCTTCCGGAAAGAATATCATATAAGGGTGTAGGACGGGGGCGTCGCTTCGTAGCCCCCAAATAATTTAGAAGGTAATATAACATTTATTTGTTGTTGTACACATGCCATTTTCAGTACAGGGCTTCCTTAGGACCTACTGAACAATATATAAGAGTAGGAGCCGCCGGCAAGAATATCATATAAGGGTGTGGGACAGGTGCGTCGCCTCGTAGTCCACAAATAATTTGTAATGTAATAAAACATTGATTTGTTGTTGTACAAACGCCATTTTTGGTACAGGGCTTCATTATGACCTGCTGAATGATGGTAGGGTAGGGGCCCCCGGCATACATATTCATATATGGGTGATTGGGGGTCCATGGCGTTTGTACAAGAACAAATAAATGTTATATTACCTGACGAATTATTTGTTGACTACGAGGCGACGCTCCTGTCCCACACCCTTATATGATACTCTTGCCGGGGGCTCCTACCCTAATACCTTTCAGTAGATCCTAAGGAAGCCCTGTACCAAAAGTGGCAATTGTACAACAACAAATAAATGTTATATTACCTTCTAAATTATTTGGAGGGCTACGAAGCGACGCCCCCGCCCCACACCTTTATAGGATATTCTTGCCGGGGGCTCATAGCCTAATATTGTTAAGTAAGTCCTAAGGAAGCCCTGTACCAAAAATGGTGCTTTTATCCGGCAAGTAACGATAATCAATGAATTTGAGGCTAAGCCACCTGCCTATTACGCTTATCAAAATGTTTAGCACATTCCATTTATTTGTAATCTTGAACATTAAGCTTAGGTTTCGTTCGAGTATGTGAGAATTTATTTTCTATATTTATCAGAACTCAAGTTTATCTTTGATTACTAGCCCCATAATTTGTTGGGTCTACAGTACAGGTGATGAAAGGCTTGGATTAACAAGATTAACATTGTCAGACTTGTGAGTGGGATCGATGGCGGCAAACAAAAATGTAATGTGGGTGTGTGTACCTGCACACCTCCTTCATCAGGACATCCTCCACCCCACCACCCCACACTTAGTGAAGCATACCTCATTTGGAAGCCCATACACAATCATGTTTGTTTAGAACATGATAGTTTCCTTCATATGCATTGATTCCCCATGCTTCCTCATATTTTGATTTATAAATGCACATGAATAATTTGATTATAGTTTTGAAAATCATTTCATAATTACGAATTTCATACATAACTAACATATCGGGGATGGATAAAACCCCTAAAAATCAGACTCATTAGTGTATGAATTCTCTAAATAGGAGACATTGCCCATCCTGCCATATTCCACCATACATGTCTGAAAAGTTACTCAATTTATTTCAAACACTTCGACTGTTTACCTGTAAAATGACGCCTAGAAATTGACACCACGTTGTAATGTGTTAGATCGAAAGGCATGCAGTGGAGATAATTGGGGCAAACATACCCCAATGTTAATGACATCATAATCTTACAATGTAGTGCGCGTGTTGAAACACTTCACCGTGTGTGGGCTTTATAAGATACATATTATTTCCCTTTACGTCGTTTGGTACAGTCATGTGATCTACTATGCACATGGATAAATGTATGCAGTATGTATCATGTAGTTTAATAGCCTACTTGTTGAGTAGGCTCCCGTCGGTAGTCAAGCGGACAAATGTGGTGTGCGCGAAAAGTTGTGCGTAAGGACATTCGTAAGGGTGTGCGCGAGGACGTGTGTGAGAACGTGCGTGTGGCGGGGTGTGCGTGTCATAACCATAAGTAGAACACGGCGTCAAGGTGGGAGAATGCCAGTCTATCTACCGGTCATTCGTTACAATAGAAGGGCTCGATTATACTTACCGCGTGCATTATTTTATGGCACTAATTTTTGAACTGTAAATTAGTATTTAGCTCAGAACAAGAGAGACTTTTTTAGTAATGTATCACTTACATTTTCAGTAAATCAACGAAACGATTGGAGAAACGTCTCTGACTGAAACTCTCTGACTTCAGAATTCACTCTTACCCCAACCCTTCTTGTTAATTAAAATATAAAACTTTTCATCACGGTCTTTGTCCATTATTGAGTACTGTCATTAATTAGCGTACATTCGTTCATATGTATTATATCGTATTGGGCCTACATGTATTTCATTTCCGTGCACCTTCGGCACTGTTCTCAAAGACTAATTAAAACATGAAGTGCCTGGCAATTAATTTTCTTGAAAGACTGTACAAAAAATGATGTAAAGACACATAAGTGATTTCGGATATGAAGCTATAAAGATCCGACTCGTACTACTTTACTATGAGAATAATATGAATCTCATTATAGTTGTTTTTTCCATCTCTTGTTAGGCCAATAATTTTTAGTTAATGATGGTTAAATAAACCTTACGCATGTTTAGTTCCTTGCACTAACATCTCAAACTTTCCATGCTATATGTAATCAATCCCGATGAATTGCCGAAGTCGGGGCGGTAGCGGAGTTTCTAACATGAGGAAAGCATACTTAGGGGGGGGGGGGGGGGGTGATTTCCGATAAAAAAGACAGTGAAGTATCCAGTATGGTGTGGTGCTGGCATACATTACCACACCCGTTTGTAGGCCAGGGAATATATGATATGAGAGGGCGATGCTTAAATACCTCCGTCACCATATCCCCCTCTCCTCCCCTCCCCTCCCCATCCTCTCCCTCTCCCCTCCCTCTCCCCTTCCGCTACTCTAAGAAGGATTTTACCTTCATGTTGATAGATTTCTGGATAATTATGCCATTGGAAGGAGCACTCCTAAACTCACACTGTCCACTGTCTGTGACCACATTTCACTTAGTGTATTAATCTGATTGTTTCTGATCACATTAAGGTATACTTAGTTGCGATCAGCTTACCTTAATCTTTGTGTAAGCGACCATTTAACATATATAAATTATGTCTTCCTTTGGTCATAATACATATTCATAGTCGTTTTACAGTTCTATTATTAGTGAACCTTTAATGCA